TCATACAGGATTGCAATACAGCGGGTAAATTACCCTTTACTGAGATTGATCTTGTTGTGTACAATTGGAGAATTTTCACCTTAAAACTAGAGTCGTTTTACTTAGGACAATTTGAATTTAATTGTTTTGTCGTATGATGACTCGTAATAAAGGTTCATATACATGGACTGATTCAAATGTTTGCCATATTTGAGAATGATTATGGTAAAATATGGTAACGATTACGAATAAATATTAGCGAACATTTAAGACTTCTGGATGTAATGTCCTAGAAAAACGCTGCAACCAGTACTCATCCACTAGAATTGCACGGAATACGATCTCACTAATAGTCTCAAAACATCGATCCAATTCTGTATCCTTTAAAAGTCGTAACTCGTATTATATAAAACAATTTTTTTTTAATCTTTTTTTTTCAAAGAGGATGCAAAAAAAGTCATAATTTAAGAACTCTTTTGTTCATAAATTTCATAAACTTACCTTTGGGTAGCTGTTAGACTCGTTCACATACCATGTACCAGAAGAAAGTAAAACTAATGATAGGGCTCCACAAGGAAATTGTGCGTGCATCTGCGAGTCAAAAATAAACATGATCATATGAAGTGACATTTCTATTGGTAATAGAATACAACTAAGCAGATGTCACATGAGGACAATGAAGGTTAGAGCGACAATTTCCAAGTGAGTCGCTAAAAGTTGGACAAGATCGAAGATTTTTTGCAAGGGCTGTTTCCCAGCAAACTGTAGAAAGCTACTGTTATCTAATTTACAAAATGTTATCTCGTGGATAAGAGTAAAAAACAGGAAGATGTGTGCGCACGCTACGAGCGATCGGTGCGTGGGAAAGCTCTTTGCGCGTTGGATGATCTCAAACAACAAGGACCAGCTGTGTTTCTTCCAATAAATTATTTCATATTCACATTCATTTTTTCTATTGGTTAGAGTTTCTTTATTTTATCGTTACACAGAAGCACTTCCAGAGTTCAGAATTATAAATCGAAAAAGAAAAGAACAAACAAAAAACTGCCTCCTTTCCTTTTCTTACATGCCCTGGTAAACACCGGTTTTTGCGATATTGCCATTTGGTCTCTGAAACTTTGACGTGGTCGCTACTACTAAGCATATTTAAGCATTTTAAGCATAATTTCTACATAAATTGTAATAAACTATACTTGTTTTATTAAGGACGTTCTGTAAGCGTTTTTCATCGTCTTACTACGGGAAACATTCATACCTATCTAGGCCTATGATATCTGTCAACTTGTTAAATGTCGAAGTAGCGCTCATTTCATATGCAGGCAAATAGTGGGAAGCACTTTGGAAAAGAGAGCCACGTCGACAACCTCCAACTCAAACAAAGCTAGGCGGTCTATATAATATTTGTTATACTCTGTCTGTAAGTCCTTTGAGCACAGGCGTCCCAAGCTCACGTCTAGAGAGAAAGCAGAGGATTGATTCATGAAAGCGTCACGCGTTGTGTGGAGCGGTGTTCAGTTATGCAAGGAACTGATGAGAATTGTAATGCATTATTAGGGAATAGAATTGGGAAAAGAAATATGTTCGGTTTACAATGCTAGATATTTCGAAATGTAAACATTTTACTCGTAAGACTAATAAAACTCGTGGTTTCCGGCGTTCTCTGCCGTTTTATGCTCTTTTTTGTCATCGGTCTTATTCGTTGTCCAGTTAAATCGCGCCTTGGTTAGATCGCTTCAAGATAGTTTGCTCCAGCCAAAAGTTAGATCGCTCCACTCAAAATTTAGATCGGTCTATCAAATAAGTTACTTCGCTCCTAACATAAGTTACTTCGCTCCATGTTGTAGTGTGAAGTATTACTTACCACTGATCTTTATTGGTGACGATGTGTCTTGAGACGATTCGAGTACATTGTATTCACTCTGTCCTTCAGATTAGTTATCGAGCTACAGATGTATAGCGATGATGGAATGGATGAATGATTGTCGAATAATGTATAACGATAAAGTCTGAAGTGTATTGAAAAATATCATTCAAATACAAAAAACAGTATGTCCTTTTTTGCTCTTTGTTAGAAGGAAACTTATATCCTCCATCTTTAATTAATAAAGTAGGTTACACTTAAACTCATCTTTCATCCAGGGGCGTAAATACCGAGACTTTCGACCTCTGGGATCAGTGAGTCAAACTAGAGATCCGCCAGAAAGCCACTCAAAGCCTGTTCGTTCCTGAATAGTCCTGTTTGAGAGCAGCAGACAACGGAAGCATCACAAACAAACGGCTTCTTTAAGAGCCACCGAATGAAATAAAATTAATGACCAACAATGACTGTGATTGCTTTCAAAGAGCCGACATTTTAAAAGCGTTGTCAAACTCAGACCCTAGCAAGACTAGGTTCGACTTCCGTTAAAAATGCGAGTCTTTCCTCGTGTAACAAAACTCTTTTCTTCTATCAACCTCCAACCTTGATTGTCTACATTTTGTACTGTCTGCATTGCTGTTCTTCCTGTTAGGCTTGTAGTTGCATGAATTCAGAACAATAAACTATCAAGGCAGTGTACCTGTACAAGAGAGAACGTGTTGACCCTCATCTAAGATAGAAAAGGAACAAACAAACAAGGGGCTAGGATGAGACATTCTGGCTCTATCGCCTGATATTTTGACTTTAACTGTTGGACCGTCATGGACCGGCAAAAAGGAACATATCAAAATCTTGCATGATATTTATAATTAAGATTACTCACTCTTCATTTGTTTTTATAACAAATAAGCAAACTATTCCTAACTATCACTCAAATGAACATATAAATCTCTCATAGTTTTACTTACATGTTCTTCAATTTTTTGTTTTAGTAGATCTTCAAATGGTAACCCTGCTCCTGGCCGATTTCCTGGTGTTTTTTGCATGTTACATCTGGAGTCTAATGTTTGTTTGCTTGGTGTATTTGCCTCGGTCGATTCACCAACCAGTGGTACGTTTTCTTTTTCTGTCAAGTAAGTAAAAAGATGACAGATTTATCTTTGTTTGCAGGGTTGATTATTTTCTAGTTGTTTCGATGATAAATACAGAATTTTTTTTACCTTTCGGAGGTCCCAAGTTTATTTGGTGGCAGAATCCTCTCTTGTTCCGAAGCAAAAATGACTCAGGCATTAATTCGTATGTTTCTCCGAACCAAAGGGCGTCTTGAGATTTTTTTCTGTCCGAGAAAAGGAAAATAAGCTCTAAAAATTTAAACGTATTTAAACATTACGTTGAATCTCACCAACAGGTCCACATATAATTTCCTAAGCAACCAAATTTTTTACGTTGGTAACAAGAGGGAATTGAAAACTGACTTACCGTATCTCGGTTAAATATCTGTTCTACTGTTTCTTTCCGACTTCTGTAAATTGTTTACCATTGTGGGCAAGTCTCCGACCTTCTGAATCGTATAACTCGGCGGTCTTTTCTTCAACTGTGGTCCGAAGGTCGTTGTTCTCTTTCGTCACTCTTGCAAATACATCACTTGGTGTTAGCGCAATCTCCTTGGGGTTTATTGTAATTTTAACCCACGTCTCGGCTCGTATTTTTTGCCTCAGTCTACCGCTCGTAATTAAGTCCATCTTGTGTTTAAATCTCCCTATATTTTCACCGACTGTGAGACCAATGCGATCGCAGGAGGATTCATTTAGCTTTTAGCCGAGAGACAGGAGTGAATCAAATACTCTACGAGGCAGCCTGTAAAACACTCTCCATTTCCAGGCTGCTTCACCGCCCATTTGAATTATGTACACTGGATTGCTCTCCGCAAGAAAAGGTGGAACTACTCGTACAAGATAAGGGTGGATCGGGGGTTCTGTAAGCTCTGAAAAGAGCCCCTGATCACGATCATTTTTTCTTTGATCTTAAATTTGATCTTTTGATTGATCTTTCTTTTTCTTTGTTCTTTGCTGCTGTTAATAAAAACATCAATACACATCATTTGAAAAGAAAAAGAAATGTTCCTTGGTTAACATCTGCAATTCGTCGCCTTTTTCACAAACGGAAACGCTTATGGGAAAAAGCTAAATCATCTCAACTTCAATCTGACTGGGAAAAATATAGGCAGTGTAGAAACTAGGTCAAATCTGAAATAAACAAGAGCTATTGGCACCATGTTCAGTCTCTTCAAAACAGTAACAATCCTAAACGTTTCTGGACTTTCATAAAATGTAAGACGAAATCACGATCTATTCCACCTGAAGTATCCCTGGAGAATCAAAAGGCTTCAAACAGCTTCGATAAAGCACAACTATTCAACAACTTCTTCTCATCGGTTTTTATAGAGAGTCCTGGTATTCCTGAGAAGTTACGTGACGATCTTCAACCTTTTACTGATCAAGTCATCTCAAGTCTACTTTGCTCTAAATCTGAGGTCGAGAAATTTCTCATTGGTTTAAACGTTACAAAAGCTCATGGTCCGGATGGGATATCAGCGCATACGCTTCGCGAGGCTGCACCAGCTATATCAGAGTCCATGAAAAATTTATTTAACTTTTCACTCCAATCTGGCACCTTGCCTGTGGAATTGAAATCTGCTCACGTCATTCCAATTTTCAAAAAGGGCCAAAAAGATCTAGTCAA